CTGGGCCTGGTTCATATAAACAGGGGTAGCCACAGCTACAGGGGTCCAGGGTGCTCTATGAGAAACCTTTCCCCAGGATTCGTCCCAGTGGGAAGATTTCTGGAGCTGGTTGGAGATGAGACGTAGGAGGCAGTTTTGTCCCTAGTGTTGAGTGAAGGTCCGGGCTTTCAATCGACTATTCTCAAGCTTGAATCCCAGTCTCTGTATAATAGTGATCTTTAAAACTGATGATAGTAATATTATAGGATAGGTATAGTATTATTAGGCTAGAACTTGTTAACATGACATAGTTAAAATATTCAGTATGATTTTTCAGCTTTGATCAGCATACAGAAGTTCCTGCCCAGATCTCTGGACAAGATACAGCCCTTGGAAATATGATGGACTTTCTCAAAAATATCAGCTAATGTATCTCCCATTATTTTTTCTTTTTAGATTCCTTTTTTTTTGTTGTTGTTGTTGTTTTAATTTGTCTGAGTGTTTTGTCTGCACATATGTTTGTGTATCCCAAGTGTGCCTGGTGCTCACGGAGTTCAGAAGAGGTACTAGATCTCCTGGAGCCGGAGATGGTGAGCCACCATATGGGTGCTAGGAATCAAACCTAGGTCCCCTGAAATAGCAGCCAGTGTTCTCAACTGCTGAGCCATATCTCCAGTGCCCCAAAGTTATTTTAAGTCAGTGACAAATCACTTTATTTCAGGTTGAGGCTGCACAGGCCTTTAATCCCAGCGTTCAGGAGGTAGAGGCAGACAGGTAAGACAGGGATCCGAGTGTCAAGCTAGACTCATTTACATAGTGAGTTCCTGGCCAGCCAGAGCTACACAGTGAGATTCTGTCTCAAAGAACATAGATATTAATTAATAATTAATTAAAGAAGGAAAGAAAGAAAAAGAATGACCATATTGTTTCTAAGCCTGAGTATAATCAACCTCATAAATTATTTTTCTGCCTTTTATACTTTAAGAATTTAAACAAAAATATTATGCATGCTAAACATTTATTTTTAAAATTCAGTTGACTAGCTAATGAGTTCACCAACTCATATGTAGATTAGGTATAATATGAAACCAGCTGTAATTTTTAAAGCCATGAATGGCATCAAGAAACATGCAAACCAATCCAAATGTTTATAAACCAAGGATTCCTCTGGGACTCAGTGCCCTGACTTGATGGTGTTTTTTGTTTTTTTGTTTTTTTGTTTTTTTTTTTTTAATGAGAAGAGTCGAGCTCTGTTCAGACTTGAATTATATACTTTGCATAAGCCAAGCAATTTAACTTTAACCCACAGCCCTGGAAATAAAATTAGCTCCGCCTGCAGAGCGCAGAGGCAAGCAAGAGTGGAAGCCTTGCTCTATCCAGCTTGCTCTAGCCGCATTATTTTGGGAACCTTGTGTTTGACTTGTCAAAGCCTACAATATTCATTGTGGAAAAGGGATTCTCATTTAAGTTAATGTCTACAGATGCCCTGAGGATAAAGAGCATGCAATTTTTTTTTTTTAATACTAAACGAATGCATATCTTTGCCACTTGTAATCATGACAAGGTTAAATAATTCAGGCGTGAGTATGGCTTTTTTTTCCCCCTCGTACGAAATAAGATTTATTAGTTGACAGCATCTACTCAGGCTCATTCCCCAGAATATTTACAGCTAGAATTCATGTTTGTTTAATCCAAGGAGATTTAGTAAATATGTCACATTTGCTCGCTGGTTTGGGACATCACAAAATAACATCCAATATGTGTCTTTTTGCTCCTTTTGACGGAGAGAGTGAACAGGGGCGCCCCACAGAGAGCTGTGGAAACCCTTTGCCCTGGCAGCTGGTTATAAGAAGTATGAGTATGGGGCCCAACCACAGCCACCACAGCCACCACAGCCTTTTATATAAGTGGTTCTCCGCGTGTAAGTCTCGACCCCTCTGGGCGCCAAACAACCCTTCCTCAGGGCCGGCATATCGGGCACCACAACATGAGGGACCGTGTTAAAGGGTCGCCTGCAGCGTTAGGAAGGTTGAGAAGCTCTGCTGTAAAGGGATGTAACACTACTCCCGCATCTCCGGGGAGCCTGGGATGGATCACTGTCATTGTCGCTGTCGTTTATTATCCCAGGCAGAGGAGGCACTGACTTGGCTCAAGGTAGTCACCCCAACTCTGCACCTTAATGTTTACTGTGACTATGTAATGTGAACGTCTAACCTTCAGATGTCATTCAAGGGAACAATCGCAATAGACATTTAGCCGTCACGTGCCAAGGTGCATAGTGACTTTTTTGAGAATTATTTAAAAAACACAGAAATATTATAAGAAGGTGCTTTCACTTTAATCCCAGGTGTGGGGCTGTGGCTCTGTTTCGGGCAGTCCGAAGCGGCTGACTAGGATTTGCCTCGTGCTCTAGCTAAAGCGTGGTTTTGCCAGCTGCAGATCATTTCTACAATTGTGTGACACTTTGAATTCTGGGAACTTTTCAGAGGTTACATAAATGTGAGAGAGGCCCAGGGTGGGTGGTGGTTGTTTGGTTCGGGAAGTTGGTTTCGGTTTGTTAGTAGCCATGGTCAAAGAAGAAACAAAAGGAAAGAAAGTAGATTCAGGCGGTCTCTTTCCCCTCTATCCTTGTTTCTCTCCTATCTAGTGTTGGGGGATAAGATGGGGAAAGGGGAAGATGAAGGATAGGAAAACGAAGAACCCAGAAAGTAGCAAAAACCAGCTACAAAGGTGTTGCCTTCAACTTTCTTCAACTCATCTTGAAGGTACTCTGCTTTACGGATGACCCATAGTCAACTTGGTGCCTATAACTCCACCTAACAGTAGAATTCTAGACCCCCTTAGAAGAGAAAGAATTAGCACAAGGACACACCATTCTAATTTTCTGTCGCTGCCAATGTTAACCAGAGCTTAGAGAGGAATGAAGTGGGGGTGGGGAAGATGGCTCCGCCATTGGTGTTAGACCAGGAGCTACCGTTTTTCATTAAAGCCACGTTTTGTGAGAGAGAAGTGAGCTTCCACAAGAAGAGGGCTTTCTGTGGATCAGGTAGGACCCCCGGCGCTGACAGCCTGCCCCACTGACAGAATCAAGCCTATGGCGTAGAGATGGGCAGGTGTGCATTCTACACCATCAGCTGCAAACCACTTCTGCCTGAGGGAGAAGGCAGAATTCAAACTGGAAACAATCTCAGTGCCCAAGCTGAGATTTTTTTCAAATGTGTTTTCTCCTTTAAGCAATTTCTAGGGCACACGGATGTTTTGCTAACCTCATTATCTTCAGGCAGTTCTCACAGAAGATGGAGTCGCTAGAAAACTGGCAAACCCAGAAAATATTAATTCATGTTTGCATTGTTAAAGTTAATTAACATTAGCGTATTTGGTGATGCAATAGGCAATTAAAGACTGTGTGAGAGATGAGAAGAAAAATGCAAAGATTACATATTTAAAAATCAAGCATTTCCTAAAAATGCTGGCTTAACGTGATGGCTGCGAGGGTGGGGCGGGTATGGTGTCTTTGTAGGAAAGAGTCTGTTTTGTTTTCTTAAAATAAAAGACTTCTTGTTTTACAGCATGTTAAATTTTTTTTTTTTCTGTTCTTAATCTGCTGGTAGGATCTTAAAAAGAAAAATCAACCAAGCTACTCTGTTTTCCTCTTTGGAGACATAGCCACACTGGTTTTTGTAGCACTGCAGCATTTGCTTATGCGGTATTTCTTTTAAATCCTGAATATGCAGCCATTTAACAGTTTTTGTTCTACATTACACGTTTCGTTGCAATTAGAGCTCTGTGTGTATGTGTGTGTGTGTGGTGTGTGTGTATGTGTGTATGCATGTGTATATGTGTGAGAGAGAGGAAGGAATGAAAAGGTCTGTGCATAAGAATTCTTGTAGGCTTTTTTATTAAAAAAATAATTCCTCATAATCATGAATTGGAGTTTATACAAAGCGATCCCAGTTTATTACGCACAGCCACACTAAGTCTCATCAATCCTGAGGTGGGGGGAGGTGAGACTGAAGAAGACATGAAATTTGGTGTCTGAGTGGATGAGATTTAATATTCAGGAAACATTCCACTTATGAAATGGATAGCATCAGCCCTGACCTCCTAATGTCAATGCCATGGTGCAAGTGCAGCTAAAATAAGCCTCGAAGTAAAACAAAGGGACACTGCCTCTCAGCACACCGTCTCTTCCCCGTATGTACTGTCCATAGCCTCTCCGTATTCCTATAACTGGCTTGTTCGCTTCGGAGGGGGAGGGGGGAGGCAAATCACGCTGCACGTTTCTGCGTTTGGAACACGCATAGTGTGCTGCGGTAAACCTTACTGTCACTTGGGTCGGTGTCCTTAAAGATAGTTTTAATTGTTTATGAAGGCCAGCTGCACAGCTTAAGGGACCTAACATCAAGGTCTGTCTCTGTACCGGTTTTATTTGGCTTCACTTCTACCTCCACACAGTCTGCCTGCAGCGGTATTCTGCTGTTGGGTACTGCAGATGCATTTAGCCGGATACATTTACACTGCCTGTGGTTAAAGGTTATAGAACGGATACAGACAACTGATCATGCATTCTTCTACAAGCCTGCCGGCACCTTAGGGTCTTAAAAAAGCAATCTACAGATGCTATTCCCTTTATCAGAATTCGTCTTCACTTGGCAGTAGCCTAAACAGGTTTTTTTTTTTTTTTTTTTGCGGTGTTTTTTTTTTTCTGCTGCTGTTAGCAATTCTATGAAATTAACAGTCTATAAAAACGCATCCCCGAGCAGATACGTACTGTATTGCAAGCTTTCTCCAAGAAGAGGATATGACAGTATTCGCTCCAGCTGCTTTTCTTCCTTAGCAAAAGGACCGTTTGGTTTTCAGGAGCAGAAGGACTCATTCATCCTGCAGCCGCTCTGCCTAAGTGCATGGAATGCCTTCTACTGCCTGGTTGCAGAATCTGGAGTTTGCTAAACAGTGGTTAGTGACCAGGCTCACCTTGCACCAGAGCTGATGACATTTCTTCTTTGTTCCCTCCTACCCAGTTGAGCCAAGACTCTGAGGCTGGTATGCAATGTCACTTACAACACTAATCAGATACTGCATTTAAGGTGAGCAGTCCCTTGCCTCCTCCTTCTCCTCCTCCTCCCTCTCCTCCTCCTCCCCTCACGCTCCTGTGCTGCATGCAGCGCATATCTTGCTTGTGTGAGCCTAAGATGGCAGGCAGGATTAGCCGTGCTGTGCTGTGTGTGCATGCTGTGTAGAATTCATTTCACGTTGCCTAGTATTTCAGATGTGAGTATGTAAATGCTCCCTATGTCGCATCATCTGGTAGCGAAGACTTGTTTTGCCTCATTACAACCTTCGTTATTTCGACATCATCTTTTTGGATTCATTTGCTTCTACAGGTTTGCTTTTCATCACATTCAAAATAAGATTATGTCTTTTTTTTTTTAAACAAAGCCAAATAAATCCCACAAACCCCTAAAACCCAAACAAGAACAACAAAACTCTGTTACCAGATGGTGTCTCCCCTTTCTTCTTGCATTTGCTATCTTTTAAATAATGTATGTTGTATTGTTAATTAATGTGAATATCAAATTAAACACTTGAAACTTACATATTTATTATGCAGGTAGGAGGCAAGGTGGGCTCTATTTTAAACTCATGGGCACTGCATTCGTCTCTAAGCAACTCAAGTCCTCATATTTGTATTTTCAATGCTGGTATCAATGGTTTGATTTTCAGCAAATGTGACAGTGGCCTTTGCAGTGGTCAGCTCTGAGCTTTGAACTCTCAGAGGAGCAAGAGAGAAAAAAAAAATTTCAGCACACCACCTCCTTGGTTGCAGCCTCAGAGAATCCTTGGATGAGAAACTTCTTTTTTCAGTCCTGTTTTGCTGTTGATAAATTCATTCCTCGTGGTCACAGTGCATTCAAGCTGTTCTGCGTATGATTTTTGGTGTGTGTGACAATCGCATCTAAAATTTGTGAGCAAGAAGACGGAGAAATCAGTTGGTCTCCATCGCCTCACATAAAAATGGCCGAGTGTCTTGTTATGCTAACACTGCTCTGAGTGACGCGCACAGGTAGGTTGGAATTTGCATGCTTTATATGTGTATATATATTTTTTTTGAGCCATGCAGGAAAAAATACTAGATGCATTAAAATGTGAATTAAAAAAAAAAAGAGACTTGTAATATTTGGGGATGGCATTAAACTGAATAGCCTTTCCTATCAAATACTACATAGACATAAGCATAATCTTATAAAGTGATTCTGCTGTAAAAGTGAAATGATTTCTTTTTTTTTAAAAAAAAAATTCAGTTGTATGATAGGCGTGGCGCCACTAGACAAAAGAATTTTTTGAAAAGTCTGGTGATTTTGGCTCAATTTGAAACAAATAAACAAATGGGTTTCTGGAGACAATTTTAGAGAGCGTAAATAAGCTAAAAAGGAAGTATCAAAAATGTTTAATCTTTAAGAAGCGGATTTTATCTGTGTTATATGAAAGATGAAAATTCAAAGTTACATTCTTTCAAAATCATATTTTTGTCATATACAATGGTAAATCCACTGTTTGTTATTGCATGTAGCAGGGGCGGGGCGTTATCATTTTTAAAGGGAGAAATGCTAAGTTTCCATGGCCCTCTGAGCAGAAATTGAGCTCCATTAAATGAAGCTGAGCCCCTAGAATGGCTCATTGCAGAAATACTGTTCTGCCTCTCTAAGTACCAAATCCTGGCATTTTCCAAAACCATTCCATGAGCTCTTTCCTTTGAGCCTAACCCCTAAAAAATATTTTAGTTTCAAATTAACACAGGGCCAGAACCTGTTTCCCTGGTAACTGACTCATATTTAAAAAGACAGCAATAGATATGCACAAGAATGTCTTAGAAAAGGAGACACATGCCAAGTGAGAATATTATAGTTCTGTGTCCTCTCACACAGAACGTGAACTGGCTTTCGACATTTTTAAAATGCGGTCTTCAAGCTATCGCATCAGCTGCCTTTCTGAACCCACGTAGGCTTGCTCAGTGACAGCCTTCCTCTTCCCCCTTTGTGCTGACTTGTGCTCTGTTCGTTCTAAATTAAGGTTTCTCTACAGTGCGCTCTAGAATGCAGGTCAAGGTTTATGGAGAGAGGTGTACTTTCAGGCTCATGAATTCACTGGCGTCTCTGAAACAAAAGCTGTTTCAGAAATTCTATGAACCAACGTCAGCTTCTAACTTGCTCAGCCCTCCATGGTAACCTCCCAGCTCAGGCTAGAGCAGGACCCAAACCCAAGCCTTCCTTCCCCCTTGACAAGTGCACACTGAGCCCTCATGGGAGCGCCTTTGTAGCTGTTGCCAGACCTGAGACCTCCTGGAGATGCTCCCAGGTGAAGAGGTCTGGGCTTCAGAGCCATATATGTAAACAGTTCTATAGTTGCTTATTTCCAGCAGTCTGTTTCAGTTCCTAATGCATGAGCTGCACAGTCAAATCTCTCCTGGGTTAAAGAGTGGTTGTTGTTTATTGTTATTGTGTTGTTTTGAGGCCAACCAAATGATTGTCTTTGGGATCCTTCTGTGGCTCAGTTATATTAGAACATGATTCATCCGGTGATTCCGTTCTCTGGGCTTGCCACAGAACAGCTTATTTCCTGCAACACCTTTTTTTTTTTTTTTTTTTTTTTTTAATTTGCTTGGGAGCCATTTTGCTTCTTGCCTGTGTCTTAAAATGACTAAGTACATTTGAATATAGTATCCGTCTGACTGCAGCCAAAAGGGAAATGTTCGAAACCCGATTCTGTATAGACATTTATTTTAAGACCGGCAGCATTAACAATTGCAGGATTGGACTAATTGCCACTCACTCTTGGACAAATAAGATTGAACTCAGCCTTTGTAGTTAAAACACATGCTGTTCAGAAAGATTCTAACAGAGTATCTTCCATCTTGATAGGTCAGTACAAATTAATCATTTTAAATGAATTTGAAATTTAATTACAAGATTAAATGGGTGAAATGCAGTTGTTCTAGCATGAACAAATGCCTGATAGATCCCACACTCATAGAATGTCGATCCTTTTGTTTCCAACTTAAGCATGGTTGTGTCATCTTGTGGATTCTCATATCTAATGATTTCTTTAAATGGCATTATTCATTTGTGTTGCTCTTAGTCATGCCTAAAAGAATTTCAAATATAATTCATAGAGCCAGAAAACCAAATAAGACTGTTGGGAAATACACTGCGCCGTTATCAACTCTAATAAATAGGCCAGTGAATGGAAGAATAATTATTATTTATTACTTTGTTGTGTGTCACTTAGTGCGATGTTTGTAAGGCATAAAGCTCTTCTAAACTTACCCATTTACAATTATTATTGGATCTCCTAGATAAGCTGAAAGGAGGGAAAGCGCCACTTTTACTCCTTCTCCATGTATAACAGACCAGGCAGGCTCAACCCATTTACACTTTTTGGCTGAGGTGTTTGCGTCGGGCAGGCCAGAGCAGGTGTGACAGGAAGAATGTGCAAATGTTTTGTTCTCACCAAAACGAAATGGGCAAATGTGTGGTTTTTCTGCCCGAATGATTTAGAGTATAAAATTCTCAATTCTTGTTTCTCTTTGGGGAATAGAAAAATGTTTTTCCAAGCTTTAATTTGGAGGGGATACAAGGCTTTGTCTTCTGTTCATATACTGATGTGAATCTACCTCAGCCTTTTCTGAGGGTCCCCTGTAGCTAGACTGGTGGCCAGGCCATGGCTTAGACGTAGTGCCTCTTTATTACTCTATACATGAGGGAGAAAAATCTAGAAAATAACGTAGCACCTTTTTCTCTATTACTGAATCGTGCTAAGTAAGTCTTTGGGTTTCTGGTCTGGCTTATTCTGACAGCTGACTTTCCAAGGTTAAATAAACGCTCAGCACATTTACCGAGCACCCACTATCTAGCAGGTCTATTCCAGAAGCTAGAAATACAATAATCAACAAGACAGACCAGAGCTTGTTTTCACGATCCTGCCTTTAATATGGTGCAGTAGACAGTGGGGAAGCGACAAAAACAAACGTGCAAGCAAACAACTAACAAACACAAGAACACCAAGGAGAAGTAGCGGGGTGTTATGGCACACTCAAGTAGTGCCAGCCCTGGGGAGGCAGATTGTGGGTTCCAGGCTAGCCAGGGCAAGTGACCTTGTCTAGGAAACACATAAAGAAGAAAAACTAACAGTTAAACAAAACAAAAAAACAAGGGTGATGTGCTGTAGGGAGAACCACTTTGGAATGGCTGGTTTGGGAAGGGCTTCCTGGGGCTGCGGTACTGGGATGAAGACCCAGGCAGGCGAGGATCTAGAGGGGGCTTTGCCCACCATGCAGCAAGCACACACTGCAGCCGTGCCTTGCTTTGTGGACCCTTCAGCCTCTTGAAGCCAGGCTCCACAGCTTCATGGTTGCTCCTGGCTCAGCGAGCTCCCGCTGAGCAACCCAGGCCTCTGGGCTAGTTTCAACCTGTTAGACACAAGATATGGGTTCCTTTGACCCCAAAAGTGCCCTGAAACTACCTGGGAAGGTAGAGTGAAACTGTTGGCATTGTATCCCCAGTAGTGATGCAACCTGGCAGAGACCCAACTCGGTAACGGCCTTTTGGAGCAGGGAATGTTCTGGAAAGTATCTTGTTTTGCTTTTCATAAGGACTCCGGGATTTACGCTCATGGCAAAACACTGAGACTTCCGTTTTATTTTTATTTTTCCCAAAGGCAAAACAGTAGAAAGGTCTACATTTCAATTGGCCAATAAACAGTCTTTGTCTTGAAAAGCCTGAACTACTTGGGCTCTGCCGTGGCTTTACTGATGTGCTTTTTTTTTCTCTATTATACTGATAGGGCTAAGAAAGGTCTTATGAGCCAGCATTCTCCTATTCCTGGCAGGTTAGTCGGTGATGAGGATCAGGGAACAGGGATGATCTGCTAGCCACGTTAAACACCGTGTGGTTCCTAAAAGCCTTCTGAATATTCTAGAAGCACTCTCTAGAACTGATCCTTCATTTAGCAGCCCACTTAGTACAACAGAGGTGGCCTGGCTAGGGCCAGTCCCTCACACTTAAGCATCCCACTGCAGGGCACACTTGTTGTAGAGAATGGCCTGTCGTGGATGGAGGGAGGAGATACTTCAGCAATTTGGTTCACCTCTTGGTGTATTTGTTGAACATTTACTAGGTAACTGACACTGTTTTCAACCAGGCACAATGGAATATGACAGGCTCCCTCTGGGACTCTGCTGAGGTTCCCACAGAAGGCTAGATAATGACAGGGACAGGTACAATTATGTATCATTCCTGGCACAGAAAGGAATCATTGTTACTGTCCCCTGAACTCCACCTTTCTGTGTACAGGCAAGCACAGCCAATGTCAAGGTCTTTGCTTGGACTCTGTGTCTCTTCTCTCACCACCTTGCTAAGACAGGATGGCTCCTGATAAGCCACCCTATGCCCTGGCTAGCCTTCTCCAAGCTGGTCTGCCCACATTGCCAACTGACCTCAATAACGGCTGCCACTTTTGAATTCATGAGCAGATGTTAGGTGGGGAAGTCCTTGAATGAAAAATTTTGAATCTATGATGCAGGCAAGATGCTTTTGCTTTCTCACCTTGCATATCTGAAGGGGGTGGGGGCGGGGGTACAGAAGCCTGCCTCCTGACCTCCTGATGGGTCTGAAGAAAGCTTTCTGGGCAGCAGGTAAGTGGATACCAGTTCCAAAATCACTCTTTGTTAGGTGCTCCCAGCATGTCACTTCTGTGGCCTAAAACATCTCAGGGACCATAAAAATTGTTCTTTGGTCTTACAGCTGATTCGGCATCTTTTCATTTAATGGCATCTTTGCTGCTGCGGCTCTTTCTGCTAAGGGTTGGAGTCTGGTCTTTGTGTCCACTTTCACTGCGTTAGCCTGCAGAGGGAGTTTGTTTTCTAGAACTGTTTAGTTTTTTAGAATGCCAGTGTAAATACTTTCTGTGCTCATGAGCGAATAGAGGCTTCCGTTGCGTGTTTTATATAATAAAACATCTTCTTTGCCCTTGCTCATTGCTACCAAATGGGTATTTTGAAATTCTGTT